CGCTGGATCAGAACCGGCTGCGGGGGAGACAGGGGGGTCAGGGGAGGGGTGCTGGGACCCCCACTTGGGAACACACCTGGGACCCCACACCTGGGATCCCACACCCGGGAGCCCACCCAGGACCCCACACCCAGCACCTGCCAGACCACTGCAGCCAGGACCCCACCCAGGACCCACACCAAGGACCCCACACCCAAGGCCCTGCACCCAAGACCCCACTCGTGTCTCCCACAACCCCACACCAATGCCCCTGCACCCAGGACCCCACACCTGGGATGCCTGGAACCCCATATCCAGACTCCAACATTTGGGGTCCCCACTCAGGACCCCACACCCAGGATCCAACAGCTGAGACCCCCCTGTCCAGTACCCTGCACCCAGGTCACTGCAGCCAGGACCCCACCCAGGACCCACATCAAGGGCCCCCACCCAGGACCCCACCCAGGACCCATATCAAAGACCCCCACCCAGGACCCACATCAAGGGCCCCCACCCAGGCCCCCACCCAGGACCCACGTCAAGGGCCCCCACCCAGGACCCCACCTGAGACCCTCCAGACCCCCACCCCACGCTCCACCACCATCGTGGGGTCCCTTGTGGGGGGAATGTGGGGCAGGGGGACAGACACAGACACCTCCACCCGCGGGTGCTTCCCGATCCCCCCACTCACGTCGGAGGAGGCGTCGGAGCAGCGCAGGTCGATCTCGGGGGAGCTCTGCAGGATCTGCACCGACCCCGAGCACTCCTTGATGGCCTGGGGGGGGGACACGGGGACACCCGGAGTCACGGGGGGGTTACTGGGGACACCCGGAGTCACGGGGGGGTTACCAGGACCCCCCGGGTCCCCCCCTTTCCTCCCACCCTCCTCACCCCGTTCTCCTTGAAGTCGCAGTCGTTGGGGTCGGGCCGGGTGCTGGCAGCACACTCCGTCTCCATCAGCGTCAGGTTGAGTTCCCGCAGTGAGCTCAGATCCAAGCCCTGGGGGGCACGAGTGTGGGGGGGAACACGAGTGGGGGGTAATGAGAGAGGGGGCCACAAGCGGGGAGCTCAGGAGCAGAGGGAGGTCACGAGTGGGGCAGCAATGCCAGGGCAGGGGATTGGGGTTGGTGATGAGCTGGGGGAGAGGGAGGCCACGAGTGAATGGGGGGGGTCTCGGGTGGGGGTGTCACTCACCAGGGTGGTCTTGAGATCGGTGCTGTGCAGCCTGACTGGGGTGTCACGAGTGGGGGCACATGGATGGGGGATCAGGAATAGGGAGAGGGTGAGGGGAGGGGTGTGGGGGGTCCCGAGTGGGGGGCACTCACCGGGGCAGGCTCGGGGTCAGCGCTGAGCAGCCTGAAGGTGTTCTGCACCTCGGGCCGCTGGTTGTAGGAGTCCACGGCCTGGGCCAGCGCCTGGGTGTAGGCGAGGGGGGCCGGGGCGGGGAGGGCACGGGCCCCCCCCAGCACCACCAGCAGCACCAGCGCCCACGGGCTCGCCATCCCTGTCCCCCACGGCCACGCCGGCGCCGCTTTTATCCCCCCCGGCAGGTTGGGGACCCGCCCCGGGCATGGCTGTCCCCCAGCCCCCTCCGGAAACACCCGGCCCCAACCCACAGGCTGGCCGTTGTCTCGGGGGTCACGGAGCCCACGGTGTCCCAATGCCTGGGCGGTGACATCTCCCCCCCCGGGAGGACTCCCAGGGTGTCCCATCCCTTGGAGCCCCTTGGCTGGGCATGGAGGGGTTGGGGGTCCAGGAGCCCTGTGGGAGGGGAGGGGTTGGTGCCCCCCGGGCTTGCACAACTCCAAACTTGCCCCATCGCTGTTTCCCAACGCCGGGGGTGCCCCCCCCCGGGCCCCCCAAACCGTGTCAGCCCCCCACACACACACACGTCTGACCCCGAAATCTCTTTATTCCAGCTCCGCTGGGGCCGGGGGGCGGCGGGAGGGTCCCCGGGGGGACGCGCTGGGGGGGCGAGGCCGCGGGGGGGGCCGCGAGGAGGAGGAGGAGGAGGAGGATGAGTGACCTGGGTTGGCGCCGGAGGTTTTTGGGGTGCCAGGGGAGCGGGATTGGGCGCTGCCACCGGGCTGCTGTGGGGAGAAATAAGGTGGGCTTCACTCCAGAGCCCCCAAAACCCACCCCAAAGTGGGGGACACGCGTGTGTCCCCCCAGGGTGCGGGTCCCGCAGCCCTCACCGGCTCCTGGCCACATTCCACCATCGACAGCGGCACGTCGGGCAGGAAGGTGAACACGGACACCTGGGCCGAGCACCGCTGCACCTGCGGACAAGGGACCCTCAGCGCCCCGGGGACCCCCCTGCGCCCCCCACCCCGCGTCTGGGGACCCCCTGCCAGCTCACCCTGCCCGGGCGGCCCCGGCAGCCCCGCGGGTCCGGGGAGGGTTTGGGGCAGGGCGGCTGCCGCGCCGTGAAGTTGATGCTGAAGTGGGTTCCCCAGTCGAAGCTCTGCCGGGAGAAAAGATCCATCGGGATCCCCACGGGATCCCCACGGGATCCCCCCGGGATGGGGGGCTGGGGGCGCCCACCTGTACCCCCCTTTTCCCCCCGATTCCTACCGTCCTGGCGACTCCCAGCAGCTTGAGCAGCCGCAGGTCCTGCCCGTGGGTCTCCAGCACGGAGCGGGCCAGGTCGCGCGGGGCCGGCATTCCCGGTGGGATCGAGGCTCCCGCCGCCAGCAGCACCGCTCCCAACAGCAGCGCCATCAGAGCGGCGGAGCGGGGAATTCTCCCCCTTCCCGGGATCGGCCCTCGCCTCGGGGCCCCCCGGCCCCGGCCCCAGGGTAGACGCGGGCCCCCCGTTCGGTGGGAAGGGCTCGGGTTGCCGGTGTTGTCCTTGGCCCGCAGCCGGGAGGAGCTCGCCCGGACCTGGAGGGGATGCGGAGATGCCGGAGCTCGGCAGGGCCGATCCCCCTCCACGGCCCCTTCCCTGGGCCTGCTCCCAGTTCTTGGCATGATGGAACAGCCCCTGTCCTGCTCCTCCCGAGCCGGGAGCGAGAGCATCCTCCCAGCTCCCAGGGAATAGAACCAGGAGCCCCCCTCCCTTTCCTGCTTTCTTTACATTATTTTGGGTTTTAAAAATCCTTCTCACCTTGCTCAGATTCATCCTAACACACCATCCCCAAGATTTCCTTGGATTCAAGAACCCTGGATTTACCAAGGACTGCACTGGGTGAATCCCGCTCTCCCAGGTTGCATTCCCTGGGGGACTGGGGCTCATTTCCCCAAAATTCAGTATTTTCCTGTCCCCTTTGGGGCCAGGAGCTCCCCTTCCTCTTTGCCTCATCCACAATGGAAAAGGAAAGGAATCCTTGGGGAAGGAATCCCGAGGAGAGCGGCCAGGGGACACCAGAATTCCTGGGGATCACCTGGGAGCAACACCCTGGAATCCTGTGGGACATCGACAGCCCCGAGCTAAGGCTCTTCCAAGGGGATTTGATCCATGGACATAAATCCTGGGTAGGAGATGTGGGAGGGAGAAGGGATGATGGAACACCAGGAGAACAGCTCATCAGAGCCTCCTCTGCACATGGAGAGCATCGGGGTGAGTCCTGGAGAAGAGAAGGTGCCATGAGCAACAACTTTGTTCTGATCCCAATGTTCCTGGGTGGGTTTTTCCCTTTCTAAAGCGTAAGCAGCAGGGAAAGCCCAAAGGAATTCCCATTCCCAGGAAGCCAGCAGTGGATAGTACACAGAAGAAATGGATCTGTACTGATAGATCACATTTACAGCCAGATATGCTCCTCATAGACCCCAAAATATACACAGTACCCCAGTATAGACATGACATGTACACCCAGAGCGATCCCGAGGGATGCCGGGAGTCAGGAATGAGCAGGGGGAGGGGGCTGGGGGGGGGACATCCCGCTCCGAGCCCCCCGGAACGCTGGGATGGGGCATCCCTTGGCTGCTGGGATTAGTGTCACATTCCTGCCCGGAGGAGGTATGGCTGTGCCCAGGGCTGGCACGGGAAGAGCCGGGCACGGAGCGCTCCGGAGGGACGGCGGATCACGGTCATGCAGGGCAAGGGCTGATGCAGGGAAGCTGCTGACGGGCAGCTCTTTGGCTCTGCCAGCATTCCAAAGTTTCCTGGCACAAAACCCACCGCAGGAAAGACCTCTCCCAGCTGGAGCATGACAAATTCACGCCGTTTTTTTCTTGCCTCTCCTTAAAAAAAAAAAAAAAAAATCCCGGCTGTTCCCCTCCAGCTGCCTCTTGGTCTTGGAAAACATCTCAATATTCAGTTTAAAGGACATCTTGATGATGTGGAAGGACATCTTGATCACGTATTCCCCATTTTGAAACCCTCAGGCTGTTGGAGTTGTTCACGTCCATCCCTCTCCAAAACGATCCGCTGGTTTAACCGACCTGTTCCTCTTCCTGGTTTCCCCATCCTGTGGCTCCTGTGGAGAAGTTTTCCACATCGAGCTGCGGAAAGCACGAGGAGCTGCGAGGGTCTTGTGTAAGAAGCACCTGGAACCGACGGCGCTGGGTTTGTTCTGTTTTGAGACCCCCCCCGTGTGACCACGACGCCCCTCGGGGGGGGTTCAGGCGGTTTTGGTGCTCCCAGAAGGTGCAGATGGATTTTCCAAAGTCATTAAAGTGGCTGGTTTTATGTCAGAATTAAGCCTGTCCCCTTCTCCCCCAGCCCACGGCAGCGCTTCCCAAAGGGAGATGGACAGTGAGAGATGGATCTGCTCGGCCACGGCTCCGGGAGAGGCTGAGGGGTTCCTTCCCACACAGAAACTCAGCACGTTCGATCTTCCAGGACCTTCGCCCAGGACCGAGCACCTGGAACGCCTGGCACACTCCGAACCTCTCGCTGAAGACCAACACCCCCCTCACAGCCCCCCCTCCCCCCGGCACCTGGCGGCGCTCAGACGGTGAGGAGGGGCACGCAGCCCACGCCCACCCCGCCCTCGTGGCACACCATGGGCGCCATGAACGTCCAGCGGTCGCTGTCGGGGTCGTACATCTCCACGGAGCTGAGGTTGGACTGTCCGTCGTAGCCGCCCACGGCGTAGAGGCGGCCGCAGTTGGGCACGAGGGACACGCGGCTGCGGCGGCTGTTCATGGGCACCAGCACGTACCACTGGTCGGCGCCGGGGCCGTAAACCTCGGCCGCGCTCAGGAAGGCCGAGCCGTCGTAGCCGCCGCACACGAACATGCGGCTGCCGAGCGCGGCCGCGCCGTGGCGGCACCGCTTGTTCAGCATGTTGGCCACGGCGTGCCAGGAGGAGGTGTGCGGGTTGTAGTACTCCACCTGTGGGTATGGAGGGCACGGAGAGTCAGGGAGACCGGCTTGGGAAACACACAGGGAATATCCTCCCCCTCACTGTGGAGGCACCACCTCCAGTCCTCTGGGAGTTTTGGGCCTCTCAGGACAAGATATTGGAGGGGCTGGAGCAGCAGGAGCAGCTGAGGGAGCTGGGGGGGCTCAGCCTGGAGAAAAGGAGGCTCAGGGGGGACCTTCTGGCTCTGCAATCCCTGACAGGAGGGGGAAGCCGGGGGGGGTCGGGCTCTGCTCCCAGGGAACAGGGACAGGAGGAGAGGGAACGGCCTCAGGCTGTGCCAGGAGAGATTTGTTTTGGATAACGGGAAAATTCCTCCTGGAAAGGGCAGTCCAGCCCTGACACTGTGGTGGAGTCCCTATTCCTGGAGGGATTTCAAAGCCCTGTGGATGTGGCACCTGGGGGGACATGGGCCAGTGGTGGCCTTGGCAGTGCTGGGGAATGGTTGGAGTGGATGGTCTCAGAGGGCTTTCCCAACCTCAAGCTGAGCAGTTCCCAGGATCCCAGGCTTACACTGTTGAAGATCTGCAGCCCGTCGTGCCCTCCCGACACGTAGATCCGGCCCTCGAAGACGGTGACTCCGGCAGCGCTGCGGTTGGAGCTCATGGGGGTCACTGCTGTCCACCTTGGAGGGACAGGGCAGAGGTCAGGGACAGTCCCAGAGACTATTCCACCATCTCCTAGGACTGGCTTCCACCAACTCTCCTTATTTAAACCTTTTACCACCCCTTATTTAAACCACCCTCACAGCCCAGATGCCCTGCAATGCCCACAGCACACGGAGCACAAAACTCCTGGAAAAGCCGTAGGACATGGAAGGCTCTTACTTGTTTGTCTCTGGAGAGTAGGACTCCACGGAGTTGAGGGATGAGTTCCCGTCGTATCCACCGCACACGTAGATCTGCCCATCCAGCACCACCGTTCCCATGGCGCTGCAAGGGACGGCAGGACCCCGTGAGGAGGCTGGAGCTGCTGCCACCCCGACCCCAACACAGCCTGCCTGGCCCCTGGGCCATCGCCTCTGTCATCCCAAAGAACCTCCTTTTCCCTGGATTTGCTTCCAAATGGCTCAGTCCCACCTAAGCCTGGAGTATCCCAGGCTGTGAGCACCTCAAATCCTGGGGGCAGTTCTGGGCCCCTCAGGACAAAAAGGACATGGAGGGGCTGGAGTGTGTGCAGGGAAGGGAAGGGAGCTGGGAAGGGGCTGGAGCAGCAGGAGGGGCTGAGGGAGCTGGGGGGGCTCAGCCTGGAGAAAAGGAGGCTCAGGGGGGACCTTCTGGCTCTGCAATCCCTAACAGGAGGGGGGAGCCGGGGGGGGTCGGGCTCTGCTCCCAGGGAACAGGGACAGGAGGAGAGGGAACGGCCTCAGGCTGTGCCAGGAGAGATTTATCTTGGATAGTGGGAAAATTCCTCCTGGGAAGGGCTGTCCAGCCCTGGCACAGCTGCCTAGGGCAGGGTTGGAGTCCCCATCCCTGGAGGGATTTCCAAGCCCTGTCGATGTGGCACTTGGGTCTTAACACCTTTCCTTCTCCATCAGCGCCGTGACGCACCCATGGAATTTTGTTGAGCTGCTTCTGACCAACAGGCAGCACCCAAAATCAGCATGAGCAGCCCAAAACTAGCCAAGCAAATCCCACCTGCTTCCACGCTGCTCCACTCCCCCCTCTCCCACACACACAAACTCCTCGTGGGTGTCCACCACCCCCAGCACTCCAGCCTCATTTTCCCCCCGCTGTTCCCCAGGTCCCTCCCCAGGGAGCTGCACCCACCTCCTCTTGCTGTTCATGCTTTCCACTTTGGACCAGGAATCTGTCTCTGGATTGTAGACCTCCACGGTGCTGAGCCGGAGCTGGCCGTCGTAGCCGCCGATGGCGTAGAGGAGCCCGTTGAGCACGGCCACCCCCACGCGGCTCCGCGCCGTCGTCATGGGCTGGCACTTCTCCCACCGGTTGGCAATGGGGTCAAACACCTCCACCACGTTCAGGGAGTCGCCTGCGTAGAAATTTGCTACTCAAATTAAAAGGGGGAGAGCTGATGGAGCCCTGGGAACCGGAGGGAACCCCCGGGGAAGCTCAGCATCCCAAAGATGGGACTGGCACAGGGTACTTTGGCTGCTTCTCTTTGGGGAAACATCTGGGCTCTGCTGGGATGGGATGGCATCCAGAGGGACCTGGGCTAGTGGAAGGTGTCCCTGCCCATGCCATGGGGTGGGAGTGGATGATCCTTAAGGTTCCTTCCAACTAAACCATCCTGGGATTCTGTGTGTGCCCTGTCCTGGGCTCTCACATCCTATTCCAGCCTCTCTGCTCCCACAGAGCCAAGTCAGAGGCATTTCCCAGCCACTTCCCTGCTCTCCCCCAGAGATGCTGCTCTGGACAATTCCCACAAAACACACTCCATTACTCCAAAAGATTGTGGCACACTTTCCAGCTTTCCCGTGCTCTGCACCAGGAGCCTCGACATGTGCCAGGCTGTGGAAGTGGCACCTCCAGTGCCCTCTGAGGGGCAGCAGAGACCTGCGAGTCCCATCTGTGCTGTCGCTGCTTCACGTTTCCCTGAACACTTCCCGTTCCCCTTTTACACCAGGGTTTGGCTCATGGAAGCGCCATGTGCCTGCACAGGTGATCCCACAATCCCAACAACATCCTTGAGATCCCTCCA